ATACTTGAGAGAAACATTGACTTAGCATCAGCTCTTGGGCTTCCTCGCACGACTGTACAGTCAGCGATATACGCCATGACTGGGAGATCTAGGAAGCAACAGCACCGCAAGCGGACACTGGTTCCTGTTCGAAACTCTGCCCTAGCTGCCAGACTTGTCAACAATCAAGCCAATCAAGCCGATCTAACCTAATATGGTAATCCACTAACTCACGGAGGTTAAGATCTTACTAAATGTAGTTAGATCGGCTTGATTGGCTTGATTGTTGACAAGTCTGCTGAGCGCTGCCAGCCACCTGTTGGCAAGAACTGGGCTGGCACGTTCGTTAAGCGGCAGCCAGAGCTCAAAGTCAAGTTCAATCGAAAGTACGACTACAAGAGAGCTCTGTGTGAGGATGCTGATGTTATCCAGGGCTGGTTCCGGCTTGTGGAGAATACTAAAGCTAAGTATGGTATCCTGGACGATAACACCTACAACTTCGACGAGTCTGGCTTCAAGATGGGCGTTATATCGACAGGAGCTGTTGTCACAGGTGCTGAACGTCGAGGACGACCGAAGACAGTGCAGCAGGGCGATCGAGAGTGGACAACAGTCATCCAAGGCGTCAATGCAAAGGGGTGGGCCATCCCACCCTTTATCACTTGCGATAATAGCTAACGTATCGGATCAGTAAGTGGGCCACCCCACACTACCTGACACGACTCTCTACACGATAACTCTACAACAACGCAATAAAATTAGCTAAAACTTAGAAATGTAATTAATTATCTAGCTCTGCATGAAGTTCGAGAATGTCCTTGAATGTGGCACTTCGTGCACGTCGGCGGCGCGCGCTGACGTCACTGACTACTCTCACCCTGCTCAGCCTTTGTGACTACCCTTTCTGCCTCTGCAGCAAGCTGCTGAGCCTGATGTACCTAGAGCACTCTACTAGAAGCAATATATTGACGCTGCTGGTTCTGCTTTTGTTTTTGGCGCTCATTAGCTACACGTAGCTTCCTATTCTCTTCAGCAAGTATTGTCGCTAATTGCATTGCAAGCTGAGCGCTTTTAGCAAGCTGGCGGATAGCAACGCTTGTTGGGCTCTCTGGTTGCCGGCGCAGTCGCTCTTGGAGAAAGCGTACCTGCTGCTCGAGCTGTGCTACTGTATGCGGTGTTTCTGTCTGCGCTGCTGCCTGCGCTGCGGCGTTATTATCTGTGGTTGTCTGTGGCGGAGACGGTGTCCTGGCCACTGTAAGCGACGACAAGACACGATCTGGACAAGGAGGGATAAGCCCTGTCGCCTGGAAGCCTGCCTGGATATTCTCCTGCGTAAATACTGTCGGCCGGATCTGTGTATAGGTTGTGAGGAAGTCTGTTTTGTCAACGTGGTAGATGCCTTGGCGAGCGAGCTCCTGGATCTCGTGACCGTACGCTCGCTTGAGCGGAGAGAAGCAGCTCACATCAAGTGGCTGGAGGATGTGTGACGTGTGAGGCGGCATACAGAGAGTGATGATCTTGTTCTCTGTGCAGTATTGATCGAACTCGGGTGTAGCGTGGCTGCTATGGCCGTCTAGGATAAGGAGCCGATAGACTCCAGCTGTACGAGCCGCTGTATGCCGGTTGAAATGCTTCACCCACTCTACGCCAAGCTCATCTGCCGTCCAGCCGTTGTCTGATACAGCGAGCACCCAGTCTATAGGGATGTAGTGGTACCAGCTAGCCTGGTGCTGCTTACCAGATAGGATCGCGAATGGTGGAAGGCACCAGCCAGACGCGTTGATACACTCGATCGTCGTGACCCAGTCTCTATTACCTGGCTGTACAACAGTAGCGCGACCTACTGTATCTGAGCTCGTGACAACCTTGGACGTCGCTGCAACGCCCATCATGAAGCCAGTCTCATCAAAGTTGTACGTGTCTGTGTCTAGTATCCCATAGGCCTGGCGCGTCTCCTCTACAAGCTTAAACCACGCTGCAATTGCGACAGGATCCTCACAGCGAGCGCGCTGGCTGTGGAACTTCCTATTCCACTTTGTCTGTAGCTCAGACTGGCTGTTGACAAAGCGCGACACCCAGTTCTTGCCTACAGATAGAGGAGGTGGATCTTGGCCGCGGCCAGCGCTTTTTGCGTGGCGGTTTTTCACTCGCCGCTATCCCTATCACTGTCACTATCACCACAGTAAACCACTAGTTCTTCTTGCCTCATATAGACAAACTCCAGACCACAATTGCATGTTCATTGCCCTCTAAAGACGGATTTTTCCTTGGAGCACATCCATGCTGCTTCTTGTTATGTCTAATATAGCCTTGCTTACCTCCTCCGCCCCCACAACCGCGCGATAATGCGAGAGCGGCACGAGCGCTACGTCTTTGACAACAATGCGCATCTCGCACATTGTGCGATAAACCGGTGATACTACAATTCCTCTGATATCATTGAAAATGATCTGAAGCTGTACGTAGAGCTTTCTCGCCATAGTGTTATCGTAGCTGCACAAGGCGAGAATAGTCAAATGCGAAGCTGCGTATGATAGCTCTTGACTAGCCTCTTCTCCAGAGAGCTCGAGTAGTTTCTGCGAAGCACTGAACAGAAGTAATGAACAGCCAGTGAAGCTGGTATGACTAAATCCAACGCCTTACGTTAGCTTGTGAACCGGTTCCTATTGGAGTCTACGTACACAGAAACCCAACAATGCGATCGGATCAGATTGTTAGTCTGTAGCAGCGATGCCACCCGAGCGGATTGTCGTGCCGCCAAGACGCATTGCTCTTCGACGTGTTTTAGAGCGTCCAAATTCTCCGAGTCGATCGAGGTATTGCTTAAGCGGAACTTAGCAAGATCAACTAGACAATCCCGATAAGGCTCGATAAACAAGCCTAAGAACAGTATATGCAACTGCAAAAGAGACCGCTTTGTGTGCCACCTTATAGTAAGTGGATCTGCAAGACTGAGGCGACTCAGTTGCATCGGCGGTGGAAGGGTACGGTGCCATTCGTTAAGAGACTCAAAATGGACCGCAGCCTGCGCGACCTTTGGTTGAGTTGCCTTCTTTATGTCAAGCGCTATATATGCGGCTAGCCGGGCAAGTTCGCCAACGCACTCTTGAAAGACTCTATCCCTGTACTCAACGTGCGGAGGAGAATAATGTGACTACACGGAATTAGTAAACAGCCTAGAACCATGAATGTTACGTGTACGCTACTCAACGGATTCACGAGGTAAAAGGTACATAGAGTTGTACAGTCAGATCTTGTTTGGTAACCCGTGATTCGTGACCCGTATTATATGCAAACCAGCTGAATAGATGTTAGTGACCTAGAAACTGCCAGGAAAATATATTGAGCGCGCATACCTCTCTAGAAAGACGATGCTTCGGAATACTTTCCGCCAATAGAGTACTTTCTCTTCCGATGTGTCGGCCTCCAACGATGGAGACGTAAATGCCTGCCTACCCATACTGAGGGCTGATACTTCTGGTTGTTAGTTAATAGTATCTGAACTCGAAAAGTATTAGTCACTTACACATAAGTCTCCTTGCGCTCTCCACACTATTGGTGAACCGACATATCGCCAGGCAAGCAAAAAGCCGCATGCGGCGGAGGACACACACATCTGAAGATGAGGACAGCATGTACAGGAAGAAATGTAGAAACTTCTCCCGAGTCAACATCGTATGAGCTTCTGCATCGCAAATGCTCCCTACTGCTGATATTGCAAAGACTTCGGTTGCGTGCACTGGCTTCGAGTCATCTTGTGGGTGGTAAGCAGATCTAACAAGGTCGAACGCTTCGTCTCGATTCCAAAGAAAGAGAAGCGAACCTGTGCCATGGACAAAGGCTTCCACAGCTTTAGTTGTTATGTCTTCTGGTGGAAACGCAGCAACTCTGATTAAGTGAGGGTTGATACCAAGGGCTTTCGAAATCTGGCGCACCTCCTCCACCTCATCCTCGTCGGGCGATGCCGTATCTTGCGAGCCGCCCTCTAAATCTGCATCATCTGTGTCCACGCTCCGTTGACGGTTGGCTTCGAATTCTTCCTGACCCTCTGAGGCGGCTAGGGGACCAAAAGAAGCGAGTTCGGAAGTGGATGCAGCTTTGTTATCCGACATTGTTGTTGATTTTGGGTTGTGGCGTCGTTGTCTGAATCCCTGAAGGTACGTTTGATGGCTCCGGTATTTCTCGGTTTGCTTGTAACGCTCGAGATCCTTTTTGTAATCTTGCAGCCTATCAGCAGCCGGTGTTTCCCAGTTGATCATTCGTTCTTCATGAGAGAGTTCCCTCCAACGCTTTCCTGTTTCCTTGGCAATCTCGGTAAAAGACGAACGGCTGAGTGCTGGATCCTGTCGAACATGCTCGCTGAAGAGCACATAAGCCGTTTTAGGCTTGTGGGGAGCATTGGGATCTGGTCGCGGGTGCCGTCGATACGGTCTAGTTGTACGCGCTGCCTGCTGTGAGGGTTGTGGCGTTGCCTCGGAATGTTCTCCAACGGCGGGTAGCCTCTCGGATGGCAGAGGAATATTTTTGGCCTCATACACTCTATGAGATGCGTTTGCACTGCTATACTCGCGTATTGCACGCTGAAGTTTCCGGCGATCACCCCGCTTGAAGTTCATTTTGGCCATGTCGGTTTCTGTGATCGCTGTCACAGTCTCCCAATCATCGAAGCCGTTTTCCTGTAGGCGCTCCTCGTACTGGCTGAGTCCAAGCCGAGCGAGTGCCGTACTAAGCTCGAATGCATTGGCAGTATGCTTCCCCAAAGGTCCATAATCCATCCTTCCTACAATCTCTTATAAATCTTCGGCAACGGTGCTTTGATTAAATGAGACCTTGACACCAAACGAAATCGATCAAAAATGGTGGCTGCGCCGCGTTGCGATAAAAGCGTAAGAGAATTGTTCCTAGGCTGAAGCTCGCTATGTTTCTCACTTGTTATGTCTGCTCACAGACCTGACGTCACTCGGATGCTTATACCGAGCTTGACGGGTCTGTGCACGGGACGACGCTGTACACGCTCACGCCACCAAAACGGGAACTAATCTCCTACTTCAATACGTGATAACTCTACTGATACGAGCTAGATTGAGGCTGCGCTTACAGCTATAGAATCTTTAGAGCCTAGCGAAAAGAGGAATTACACACAGATCGCTAAAATCTATGGTGTAGAACGCTCAACGCTCAGCCGAAGACACCGAGGTCGAACAACCTCTCACAAGGTTAGTTCACAATTGCAACTATCTCTCCATCCACAACAGGAGCTAGAGCTCCTACGCTATATTGAAAGTCTTACAAGATGAAGTCTTCCACTTAACGAGGTATGATAAGAAACTTCGCCTCACAGATTGCTCAGAGAAAGGCTAGAGTACACTGGGTTGATCGCTTCGTCCAGCGACACTCGGGTAGGCTCATCTCAAATTGGACGACGGGCATCAACAACAATCGCCACAAAGCTGATTCAGATAGGAAGTACACCCTCCAGTTAACCTCCTACTCAAGAAAATTGATCAATACCATGTTGAGGTGCGTCATACCTACAATATGGATGAGAAGGGCTTTATGCTTGGAGTGGTGGGTCGTTCAAAGAGGATCTTTAGCAGGGCCTCGTATGAGGAGAGGAGGAGAGATAGTGTTATCCAGGATGGCTATCGGAAGTGGATAACGCTACTAATCTGTATATGCGCTGATGGATCTTACCTTGAGTCTGCCCTTATCTACCAGTTAACCTCAGGATCAATACATGACTCCTGGCTACAGGCTCTTGATCATGAAACTCATCAGGTTCGGGTGTCCTCATCACCCTCGGGTTGGACGAACAACGAGGTTGGCCTCGCGTGTCTCAAACAGGTTTTTGATCGAGGTACTAAGGCAAAGGCAGGATCCAGTTAGACAGGGTTGGTTGTTAAGCCCGTTAGACCTTTCCACCAAGACACTCGGCAATAATCTCTGCGCTGGTGGGTGTTGTAGCCTCTTTTCTAGTAGAGCTGTTTTCGGCGTTTCCCGCGCGTATAGTGGGTGCGCGCGTTTTCTAATTAGCCACGGTAGTGGTGCCGGAGTTTTGTGCCGCAGTGCTGGCTTGGGACGTCATGGGTTTTAGCGCTGTCGGCTAGGCTGAGCAACCGGCACGATACGCACCGCCATCTGCACTCCGCACTCCGCACTCCATCGACATCCACCAACGGCTGGTTGTGACTCCCTAAGCGTGCGTGAACCTAACATCTTTCGAGCGACGGCAGTATTGGTTTTTTACCTGTTCTTCTGGACCACTTCCCACTGCATGTGAGACAATAAGGCAAGACATCTTATTGGCCAGGAGCATTCCGCCAAGGGGCTTCATGTCGGTCATTTGTACCGAGAAGCGGACAAAACTCGATCTGGCTCACGAATGCGGACTGTTCACCGTCCCCAAGGCGACGAGTCTGTGTCAAATTGACCAGTCTTGCCATTGCGATAAGGCAGTGGCGAAACGCTTCCGAGGTTAACAGGCAGAAGAGGTGTAACTTGAGAGCGCAAAGCATTTCCCACAACGCGGTCAACGGAACACGCTCACGCCTATCTTGACGGATAACCCAGACTCGACAGGCTCTATCAGCGACTTTGTGTGGTCTTCATGAGCTGGGAATCTTCCCCACAGCATCGTTAATCACGGCGTGAACCCCTCGGAGCGATGGCAAAGCATTGCACCAGCCCCTGACCAGCCCCTGACCAGCCCGTTGCCAGCGACGTGTACACAGCATAGCGGCCAGCAATTAGGGCCCAAGTTTCCTTCTCCGCGGCTCTAATAGATCACCAAGTTCACTAAACATGCGCTCGCAGTCGCAGCTTGAAACAGGTATTGATAATACATCTATCGCAAGTCTGCTGAGGTTCGGATATTGATCGCGCAAAGCTACCCAGTATTCTACTGGGTTATTAGCGTCGTGACTGCCATCTACCGCGATCGGCTCGCCCTGCTTCCATCGTTGATACTCGTCCATTTCGCTGTCGGTTGTAGGCAAATGCTCAGGATTAATATAGCTGTTAATAACGTGATCGATCTCGTTTGAGCGGTGGGCGGCGGCAGGTATCGTAGCTACAGGCGTCGCGCGCGGCGTGTTGTATTGAGCCCACAGTTGGAGAAAAGCCTGGTTGTTGCTATAGAGCTACGCTGGCTTATCCGCCCAAAGGACGTCACAAAGCTTCTTGTAGCGCGGATGGAGTATAATAGCTGCGTAGTAGGCTGGAGAGTTGTCAAGTTTGCTGTAGTACTCGCAGAGCTTCGTCCGTGCAGCTCTCAAGTTGATCTCCAAATGGTCCTCTGGCGCCTCATTGTGAGCGTTGTAATCCACCGCCTCGTACGTAGCAACACGATCCTCGTACTCCTTCAAAAGATACTCAAAGACGGGGATTACTTCAGCAATTGCTCCATAGGCACCAGAAGCGCTACGGCCCTCCAATCGCTTTGTAGCTGCCTTCAGCGATTTGAGAACAGCTAGATACTCAGTAACAACACCCCAATCGGCAGCGGTGAGTCCATTTGGCTTCATCCAGTCAGGAGCATCAGCTAGCTTATTGCCTCGGGCTTGAGCTATCGCGTCGCTGTCCTGGAGGCGCGTAATGTGATGCGCGGCGTAGAGGTTGATTGCAGCCTGCAGACTGATGGCGCGCTCAAAAGCAGAATAAAAAGAGTTCTATCGCGTAACAACAGGCTTAACAACCTCTCGGAGCTTGCAATCGTCGTCGGTGGCGTCTGGATGCAGATCGCGGTGAGCTTCAAGCTGACAGCGATTGAAAAGCTCAACTTGCTGCGGCGTTTTGATATAAGCGATAATCTGAAGGAGTATTCCGAGAGGTCCCTTATGCCGCCACTCCTCCATAAACTTATCCTCGCTAACAAGCTCAGTAGATAGAGCGTTGCCGTACGCGTTGTTGTCTTTGCCCTAAAGGGGCATATGGCCGACGAAATTGATTGTATAGGGACCACAGCGAACGCGACGTTCAACTGCGTCAAAGCCAATTCGACGAGAAAGCGCCTGTATAGCTGTATCATTGTTTGATGCGTTGTTAGTAATAAACTAGCCAATTTTGGTGCTAGCAACGCCAAACTCTAACAGAGTTTTATATATAACGTCGGCAAGGTTTTCACCACTGTGAGCCCCCACCAGCTGCGGCAATGCAATAGGCAGATCAACTAGCTTGCCGTGAGTGTTAACATAGTGAGCAACGACGCCAAGGTAGCCACGCTTTCCGCCTTTTGTGGTCCATCCATCGAAGCTTATATGTATCTTGCTTAGCGATTGCGACAGAGCTTGTACAATCCGCGGCCTAATGTGATCATATACTCGTAAAACATATCGCGCAACGCTCTGTGGTGACTTCCCAAGCGCTCGAGCTGCGTCAGGATTAGCCGCCTCAAGCATGCTGCAGAAAGCTGATGTTTCAAACTCGCGGAGTGGGTGGTTGTTTTCAAGAAGCCAAGTTACAGCTGCAGCTCGAAAAGCGTGGATATTGAAGTCCGATGGCTGGCCAACGAGCTTCTGGTTGAGATTGAGATTGCTGTTGAGTATAGCCTGGCGGAGGCGCGACATTGGGGCAGGCTCAGGAGCTTTACCAGTTGCCCAAATCCCATGGGTTTTTAGATGACGCTGCGCTGCGGAGACTGCGTCAGTAGCTAGGTAGACTCCGCTTACGCCAGCTTCAACTTTCTTGCGTCGATAGCAGTCGTGGCAGATCCAATAGATCTGTTTTGGATCGCGGCGGGAGGCAACACGATAGCCATGATCGTATACCTAGCTTTTGCGGCTTGTTGGCGGTTCTATTGGCTCCCTATATTGCGGGATACGAGCCCAGTTCAAACCAGGATATGTGTCTAGGAGGCAGGCGTCAAGTGGAGTACACAAAGCTCCATCGTTGTCCTCCGCCAAAGCTTCTGTAGCAGCTCGGCTGCCATCAACGGTAGGCGCGACGACCGCAGATTCCGGCTGCGAATCTCGAAACTGTGACTCAAAGTTTGACGGCAATTCGGTGGGTCGGGAGGCAACGGCTGCCTTAGCAGGTGGGGTGGTGGTTGTTGACGAGCTTATTTTGACGCGTTTACGACTGGCAGCCGCATGGGCTTTGCGTGAGCGTTTGAGGGCAGGAGGCATCGCAGAGGCTTGAATGGCAATAGAAACAATACTGCAACACCAAAAACGACGGGTATATAGATCTAGATAGGTTGCTAGACGCATTGTTGACGCGTTGAGGCGGGCGACGCGACGTGTCGGGCGTGTTTGAGTGATGACTAAGCTCGAAAAACCCAGAGCTCAACACCAAGAACGTATGGTGAACTTGTTTTAATAGCCAAATCAAAAGCTTTAATCGCGAAAACTAGTTGGCCACTAGATAGTACTAAGCCGACCAAGCCGACCAAGCCGATCAAGCCAACAATAACCTCTGACTTGGCTTGCTAACAAATTGTATGGCTCGGCTTGGCTTGTTCATCGGCTTGTTCACCAAGCCGAATGAGCAAGCTGAACAAGCCGGCTTGTTCGTTGAGAAGTCTGACGGCTACGTCAGCTTTGGGGTTAGCGCGTACACTATCCGAGGAAGAAATCTCGAAAATACAGGAACAATTATCTCAGTTCGACGTCAGATAACTCAGTTCAGTCAGTTCAGTCAGTCAGTTTTAACTCAATTGAAAAGTCTTGGCAGTCAGTCCAGTCCAGTTCAGTGACCTCACAACGTCAGTTCAGTCAGTCCAGAGAGCTCCGGACTGACTGAACTGACTGATAGCAACTCTGATAACATTGTCAACCAC